GAAAACCCAGGCTTGTTTAGTCCTGGGTGCAAATGAACTCAGATGCTGAAGTTTTATCAAAATACTTGGTAATTGGGTCAGCATAAATGCTTGGTATAAGGTACTTTTGGAGCCTCAGGAGACCATGCAGACATGGCCAAGTCCAAGAAATACCACACACAACCAATCCTGAAAATGTCACAGAAATGCATCAAGAAACCGCTGTCACAAAGATAGGAATCTCTCAAGGAGGTCTAACCCAAGTTCCCAGGGAGCATGCGCTTTGCCATGAAGCACAAAAATTCTAGACCTGGAGAAGGCGCCGGCAAAGGCGGTACGTGTGCGCGCATCAAGGCCCTTGTAAAGCCCAAGATGCCAAAGGGACCCAGCTGCAAACTCAGCCGTGTGGTTTTCATCACTCCCCCCATCTTGGGAAGCACACTCCAAGCTACGTGGCTAAGCGTTGTAGACTCTGCCCACCAAAGCCCAAGCTTCAAACCAAAGCAGAGGCCGCAGCTCTAGCTCAGGGCCCCAGAGGTGCCCAGGTCCCTGTGAAGGCCCCATAGAAAAGGCTTCTATCTGCCAATGTGAGACAGGTGGACTGGTGTGGCACATCTATACACTATTTGCAGATGACCAGTGCCCTGTGCAGTTTTTTTTTTCCTTTTTTTTTTTTTTGGTTTTTCGAGACAGGGTTTCTCTGTGTAGCTCTGGCTGTCCTGGAACTCACTCTGTAGACCAGGCTGGCCTCGAACTCAGAAATCCACCTGCCTCTGCCTCCCAACTGCTGGGATTAAAGGTGTTTGCCACCACTGCCCGGCCCCTGTGCAGTTTTTACAAATAAACTTGAACCACGGTCTGTTTGTTTGTTTGTTTGTTTGTTTTAAAGCTTAGTATAGAAAATGCAAATGAAGCCCTTTCTTGGAAAAGAAAAGACAAACAGAAAATGATGCAAACATTAGTGTCCGTGTGGTATTCCAGTCCTGCTTGCCTCTCCTGAAATAGAGGGAAGAAATAGAGGTGAAATAGAGGGTCAGGGAAATGGCCTGCTGAAGAAGAGATGGGGAAGGCAGAGCCTAAGGAGCTATTTCAGGAAGTTCATGGAGTGAGGGGAAAGCACTGAGAATAACCTCCAGGACAGACCGACATCAGTGTGTGGGAGGCAGAAAGTTGTCGCTGGCCAGCCAAGCACGTAGGATGTCAGTGCACAAACCAGTGACAGCACCGAGTTAAGCTGCTGCTGGTGGAGAGTTGGCCAGCTCCATTGCACAGAGCCATGGAAGAAGCTGGACACGGCCCTGGGCTACAGTAGAGCATCCCTGATGGACATAGACACCCTGGATTCCGACCACTGCTTACCAGGAATGATCCCACCTAGGCGCCATCTTACAACCATACAGAGGTTGGAAAACCACAGTCCAATCAAACCTCACACACACAAAGCACATTGCAGCTAAATCAATACTAAAATGCCTCAAAATAATTAAAATTAGCTGGCATAGTGAGGAAGACCTGTAATATCAGCATTTACATGGTAGGATTAGAGGTCATCCTCTACTACTACTTGGGTTTGGGGTTAGCCTTAGCTACATGATATGCTGTGTTTTTTCTTTTTTTTATTTATTATTTATTTATTTATTTATTTTGGTTTTTCGAGACAGAGTTTCTCTGTGTAGTTCTGGCTGTCCTGGAACTCACTCTGTAGATCAGGCTGGCCACCTGATCTACAAATCAAAGGCGTGCGCCACCACTGCCCAGCAGGCTTTTTATTTTTTTAATTACATTTTATTTGGTGTTTGGGATGGGTGTACGGTGTCCTGGCCTGTGTTGTTGGGTGCGTATGTGCTGTTTCTAGTGTGAAGGTCAGAATCCGCTCTCCTACCACTTGGGGCCTATGGATTGAATTCGGGTTATCAGGCTTGGTGGTAGACGACGCCTTGGTCTACTGAATCATCTCATCAACACAAATATTGTCTTCTAAAAAGTGGAAAAGCCAGGTACAGTGGCACATGCCTTTAATCCCAGCACTCGGGAAGCAGAGACGGGCAGATCTCTGAGATCCAGGCTATCCTGATCTACAGAGTTTCAGGATAGCCAGAGCTACACAGAGAAACCAGTCTTGAAAAACAAAACAAAAAATAAACCTTTATGACACATTGACAGAAACTTTAGGTGGCCATGGTTACCACAAACCAGAGAACCACTTCAGGCCTCAGGTGCTGGCAGCGTTCTTGGCCCTTTTGTTGGTTAGAAACTGGCAACTTCTACATTTCAAAAGGTACCTAATAGCCACAAAGATGTGATGCCATGTACAGAGGACAATAAATGGCTCTTGTGGGGGCCAAAGATGTCCCAAAGTAAAGTGGCTTTAGACCTAGAGCGTTCCAGCCTCACCACATCATGAGGTTCTGACCGCTTAATCAGCCTTGCAGAAGGCGAGGCTCCTTTCAGGAACATTGTTCACAGCTGTGTTGAAAGCTTTTACCCTGATTGCATGATCAGTGCGGTCCTGAAGAATGAAGGTGTCATTGGTATCATTGAATAGGTCCAGTCAGAGGTGACCCCTCAGGCACAGTCAGTCTTGGCCACTGACCTCATCTAGCCGGGGGTGAGAAGTCCCACACTTGTACAGTCAGCTCATCCTGTGCAGCACCTCACCCTACTCTAGCCTCTGGCATAGCCTCGAGAGGCTCCCATTCCTTAAACTCAGTCCCTTTCCAGACTCCACTAGGGCTAGCCTCCACTGCCAAACACAGCCACACACCACACTAAAAACACAACACACTTTCTAGACAAGAATAATTCACTAATATTTGTGTCACCATAACTTTGAACTTGTCATTCTCTCTGCCTAGGTTCTTGTTTGTCTGTTTTTGTTTTTGTTTTGAGACAGGGTTTCTCTGTATAGCCCAGGCTATCCTGGAACTCACTCTGTAGACCAGGCTGGCCTCGAACTCAGAAATCCGCCTGTCTCTGCCTCCCAAGTGCTGGGATCAAAGGCGTGTGCCACCACTGCCCGGCTTTGTCTGTTTTTTTTTTTGTTTTTTTTTTGTTTTGTTTTTGAAACAGGGTTTCTCTGGGTAGCTTTGAATGGAGTGTCCTGGAACTCTGTAGACAAGGCTGGTCTGGGACTCAGAGATCTGCCTGCCTTTACCTCTTGTGTGCTCAGATTAAAGGCATGCGCCACCACCATGGCCTGACTCTACACAGATTCTTTCTCACTTTCCTTTGTCCTAACCCTAAGCCATCCTTAAGAAAGAACTGGATGCTGCTAAGTGTAGCAGCTCACACTGGTGTAACTAGTATCCTCGGGAGGCTGAAGACAGAGAATCCCTGTGAGTTTGAGACCAGCCTGTGTGTTCAAGGCCACCTATGTAGTGAATTCAAGAGTCAGGGCTAAATAGAGAGACCCTGTCTCAAAAGCCAAAAATATAAAAAGATAGCAGGGATGAGAACTGCCCGAGGGGTAGTGCTAAGGGGTAGAAATACAGTTCCTATGTGGTCCTGCTGCTGAATGCTGTGCTGCTCAGTCTAAAACCGGGTGCTCTGCCCAGCTCTGAAAACAAAACAGTAACCCTAGCATTAGAAACAACAATTTACCAAACCCAGACCATAGGAGGGAAGATAGAGCAAGGTCCCAGTCAAGCAACTGGCAGAGAAACAGGGAGAACAACTGCCTGGAGTCTAGACTTCCGATTAGTCGGTTCTGTTTACCGACATTCCCAAAGCAGATTTACCAAACCAGTCCAAGCCCTTTTAATTTGCATACCCACGGCACATCAAGAGAAGACATTTACACTGTGCTTCAGTTCCAGCCCTGAGGATGTTTTTCCAGGATTATAGGATGCAACTTACTTGCTGGAAACAACACACACACACACACACACACACACACACACAGAGCTATCTGACCTACATTGTGTAGCTGAGGCACGGAAGCTCTGGAAGATCGGAGTAAGAGGACACACCTATACTCAGGTTCTTCTTATCTTTCACCTTTCTTTTTTTTTTTTAAATTTTTTTTTTTATATATTCACCATTGCTCTCTTCAGACACACCAGAAGAGGGCATCAGACCCCACTCCAGATGATTGTGAGGCACCACGTGGTTACTGGGAATTGAACTCAGGACAGTCAATGCTCTTAACCACTGAGCCATCTCTCCAGCCCTCTATCAGTCACTTTTATCATAGTGTCTGATAAACAGTAGTCTGTGGTGTACTCCATACCTGTATTTATAATTCTATCACTTGGGAAACTGAGGCAGGAAAGTCATTGTGGATTTCTTCATTTTGTTTTTTGAGACTAGATCTTGCTGTAGAGCCAATGCAGGCTAGCCTCAAACTCCTGGTGAGCCTTCTGCTTCAGTCTTCTCAGTTACAGGTCACAGCTAGTTTGTTTATTTATACATAACTCTGAGTGGCCTAGAACCCATGATATAGATCAGGCTGGCCTTGAATTCACAGAAATTTGCCTGCCTCTTCCGTCCCTGAGTGCTGACATAAAGGTGTGTAGCACCATGCCCAATTTATTTTTTGAAACAGGTCTTACCATGTAACTAACCTAGGCTGGCCTCAAACTGCTCATCCTCCTTTGTCCACTTCCTGAGAGCGTACATTTACAGACCTCTGCCGCCACACTATGCTCGCTCGCAGAACACATGTTCAGAAGACAGCCTGCATGAAAAAAAGCTGTCTATCCTCAAGTAAAAGATGGGTGCTTTCAAGCAATTTGAAGGATCCCCAAGCTCCTAAAAACAATTTAGAAAGCCATTTCATCACACTGCTGTAGCAAAGCTAACGGAAGCACAGGATTAGTACAGATTACTACATGACTTCTAAAGTTGGTATAAAGTAACCAAAAGCAAAAGAATTACAGGCAAGCAAGCAGCAAATTACTTTCAGTGTTCACTAGCCAAAGAAAGGTAGTAGGAGTGGTCCCACTGGGTAGCCACCTTTTCCAACTTGAGAGAGAATACAAATAATCATCTTTAATTCATAAGCAATATACTTAAAGCCAGAATTATAATTTTATTTCTTTTTAAATTGTCCACTACTCTTCATTTTTAAATCTTTGCTTTACAATTCCTTAAAAATTATTTACTGGAAGCTGTGGGGGGGAGGGACAAAAATTTGCTGGGTAAGGTGGCAAAAGCCTATTCCATAGGATGGACAGATATATATATGTATAGGTATATGTATATATATATATTTTTTTTTTTCAGGTAGGGGTGTGCTGAGGCAGAACTGTTTTATTCCAGTAAATCCAGAGAACTTGTAGTAGTAGAACAGGGTGGCCTCAAATTTACAGAGATCACCTTTCCCTGCCTCCCAAGTGGCTGAGATTAAAGACATACACCATCCTTCCCACCCTTTTTTGTTTTTATCAAGGAGCGATAGTACGCGCCTTTAATCTCTGTACCAGGGAGGCAGAGGCAGTCAGAGCACTGTGAGCTCAAAGCTAGCCTGTCCTAAATAGCTCTAGACCAGCTGGGGTTACAGTGAGAGACTGTCCACACCTTATCCCACACTCAAATAAACTCCCAAACTCAGAATTTAGAATTGCTAAATCTCAAGGAAATTTTGTAGCTTGTCCTGGAAAGCAGTACGACATTAAAGGGCTCAGAAGGAAAAGTTGGTCAATCGTAGCGATGGGACCATCATAAGGATGGATACTGTCCCCTGAGGGGGAAAGTGAGGGGCACTGGCTAGGGTGATGGCAGAAAGGACCCCAAAATATGACGAAAGATAGGCTTCAGACTAAACCAACTAGAAAGAAGTATTAAAAGGGAGAAAAGGCATGAGGTAGGCAAGAATGAGGTCCGGGTTCCAGACCCGCAGAAAAGACAAACACTATTTCCAGGGCTGGGAAAGGTGAGAAGCTCGAATCTGCGCTGAGCCTGGAGCCAGGAAGCTGATGAGCTAAATGGATATAGCGTCATCCAAGTAGAGGGGGCGCAGAGGAATGACCGAATGCAGGATGCCGCGTGAGCTCATGCAACCAACAAAGGCCACCCTCGTTTCCGGTCTCAGGACATCACCCAAGCCTACAGTCTAGCCCCAACCTTGGGCCCATTGCGCAATCCCTACTCCTCCGCAGAGATTTTAGGTATTACTCTAGACACAGAACGGTCCTTCCCATATCCGGCTGCTGAGCTTGCTGGGAGCGGAAGCCCACCTCTAGCGCAGGGCACCTCGGGAGCTGTAGTTTGGGATGTGGTCAACTTCCTCAAACGGACCGGAAGTGGGTCATTTGAAACGAAGGTCCAGAAAGCGATGGTGATCCCGGGGCAAGGTGCCCCTCCGCCGGCGGCACGGTGTGCTCCGGGCCGCATCTCCTCTCTGTAGGGCGTGGCACTTCCATGCCTCCACAATTTGTTCAACCTGTAGGGGAAATCGGGTCACCACGGAGTCTGAAGTCCCTGGCCCTTGCTCCTCGTCCCCACGTGGCAAAGTGGATCTGAGTTTGGTTACTGGCGTCCACACCGGGATGAGCGGCTCCCGTCGGTTCTGCTCTTCCAGGGCGCTTAGCTCCGCTGGGGCGAGCAAAGCCAGTCTCAGCTCTCGAACCACTGGAGCTGCCACCTCGGCCACGGGTTGGTCCAACACCGCCTGTGGAAACGAGCCTTGAATATGTACCACACCGCCCGCTTGCGAGCTCCTGCGGCCCGCGCCGCTTCGGTGTCCTCGCCCTCCCCCAGGTCCCACTCACGGCCCCGACGCGTGCCCAGCTTCTGGCTGCCTGGACCAGCTCAGCCTCGTCCACACAGAGCTTGTCACTGCGTAGCACGGGCAGCAGCGCGGTGGCGGACAGTTCCAGGAAGCCACGGGTGCGGAGTGCCTCCTATGGGCCGGTGTATCGGTCAAGGCGGAGAAAAATGGCACAGGAGCCACAAGCTTTAAGTATAAGGGTGGGGTGTGTACCTGGCTGTGAGCCTCTATGAAGGCTATGCACCGCTCCTGCAGTAGCCTCAGGCCAAAGGTTACAGCAACCTGAGAGCAGAGAGTATGGTTAGGCTAGAGACTGAAGAGGCTGGATAACCCAGATCTGCACACAAGATACTGCCACAAGCTTGAGCACAATCTAAACATTAACAGCACCTGCAATGTCTCATGAAATTAGACCTGGGCAAAGTGCAGTCCCCCATGCAAAACACACAGGTGTGTGGTAAAGGAGACCATGTTCAGGCCTTTCAGACTCCATCTTTGAGCACAAGCTTGGCCTTTATCCTATCCCTGTTTCAAATTGTTTCCCACTCTTCTTGTGGTTTTTGTTGTTGTTGTTGTTGTTTGTTTTTCAAGACAGGGTTTCTCTGGGTAGCCCTGGTTATCATGGAACTCACTCTGTAGTCCAAGCTGGCCTAGAACTCAGAGATCCACCTGCCTCTGTCTCCAGAGTGCTGGGATTAAAGGTGTGCGCCACCATCTTCCAGCATCATTTTCCACTCTTAATAGATCACTATATAGCCCTGGCTGGTCTTGAACTCTGATCCAGCTGCTTCTGCTTTCCAAGTATTGGAATTAAAAGTGTGTCACCATGCCTACCTTTCCCAGCCCTTTGAGTATTCCTCCTACATACGATCTTATTGATATACCCCACAGATCTGGCTACAGAGTTTCTCTCATAAGCATTTTTGAGCTCACATGTTCTCATGTTTTTCCTTAACAGATGTAGCCAGTCCAGGCTTCTGATGGTGGAGACCATCCTATAGGCCATTAGAGGATCACATTCTAAATAGCAGATTCATCACCAGGGCTGTTCAACAGTACTCACCTGCAGAGCCTCACAAACCAACTCCACATCCAACACCTTCACCACAAACTCCAGGCATAGCTGGGGACAGAAATGAAAGTGAACTGTGTGCCAGTGTCCCTGTTTCAAGACTCCAAGTCTTAGCCAGATGCAATGAAGTTGGAGCAATGATTCATTGAGACTCCCAGCAACCCCAGCGCCATCTTGAGCTCCCAGATTTGGGAAACAGATGGAATTGTTCAGACCTGCAATATAGAAAGCCCTGAGGGCCTGGAGGCCAACAAAGTACCTTCTAGTACACTTGTCTCTGATAAAACTCATCCAAAAACTCCAGTCTCTCCCTCATCTTCTTCTCCTTGTCCCCTTCCTTGACCCAGTGACACTTTTTTTTTTTTTTTTTTTTTTTTGGGTTTTTTTTTTTTGTTTTTTTTTTTTTTGGAAGAGATGGAGAATTTAAGTTTCTGTTAAAAATAGAAGTGTTGCCGGGCAGTGGTGGCACACGCCTTTAATCCCAGCACTTGGGAGGCAGAGGCAGGTGGATTTCTCAGTTCGCAGCCACCCTTTTCTTTATAGCAGATACTAGGATTCTCCCTCTCTTCCAAAAAAAAAAAAAAAACCACTGGGCAGTACCAACTGTCCCTTCTCAAGGCCACCCACCTCTTGTGGACTGCCATTTCCTTCTTGGCCACACCCTCTTGAATTCTGCACTGATCTGACTGGCCCTTCCCTTTTCCTTGCAGAAAATTTTCAATGAACCTCCACTAGCCTTGCATCAAAAAAGTCTAGGGGAGGAACAGTTGAGACAGAGTCTTGCTATGTAGTCCTGGCTGGCCTAGAACTCACTCTGTAGTGAGTTGGTCATGAGCTTGGAATCATCATCCTCTCTATTCTGCCTACTAGGTACTGGAAATACAGGTACATACCACCACCACACCTGGCTAGTGCTGGGAATTAAAACCCAGAGCCTATAACATGCTAGGCAAGGGCCCTACCGCTGACTCCCAGCCTAAAGCCCAAATTCTTGAAGCACTTGTGTGAACCAGCTTCCTGGTACCCTTTCCAGCTTACCCCACACCCATGTTCCCAGTCCACCACAAAGCTAAGAATCTCCTTGAGTGTCCTGTGACTCTAATGCCATTTTCCCACTCCTGAACAAAACCCTATTTGTTCTCCCAGCTCTGACACAAAAGTTTCCTTTTCCAGGAATCTCTTTCCACACATCAGCTGTTTGCCTATCACAGTTAGACCCCTACTTTTAAGTCGAGGGTTTTGAGACTAAGTCTCACTCTGTAGCTCAGGCTAGCCTGAAACTCCTTGGCTAGTTCAGGCTGGCCTTAAATCTGCCATCCTCCTCTAGCCAGAAGCACAAAGCCTCCATACATGTTAAACATTTTCATGTCTCTCCTTCCATTCAATCACGGGCCAAAGCCAACTTACCTTTGTACTGAAGAACCAGCCATAAATACTTCCTGGGCTCACTCAGCACACACTGAGCATGTACAGATCCTGTGTCCACAGAGAACTATCATACTCTGTGACAAGGTCAACTATGTGAAGGAGACTAGGAACTGAAAGGCAAGGGAGACAAGATGGCTTGCCTGAGATGCTCACCTCTCGAAGCTCCTCCAGCCCGTACTCCACAGCTGCTGTCAGCACCTCCAGCACCTGCACGGGGTGGGGGTGGGAGTGGTTAAGAGAACAGAAGGGAGTTTCCCCCACCCCTGAACCCCCAGCATAATGGGCAGTCTCCTGCCTCTGGCATCCTCAGCTTCTCTCCCTCCCAGACCTCTGCTTGGTAGGCTCACAGAGTATCGGTGCAGCTTGACACTGTTGGTATACAGGAACTCCAGAACAGATAAGAAGGCTTCGGCTGGCACAGTGCTTAGCACCACAGGACTAGGTACCCCAGGGCCCAAAAGTCTCTGGAAGAAGTTACATCTACAGGCCAACAAGCACCGGTGGGCAAATACCTCTTGCCGTTCTTGACCAACCACAAAGCAAATATCACTGTGGAAGAGAGGGAGGGCCAAGAGCCAGGGGAGGGGATCTCAGACCTAGATCACACTGTTGGCTTTACCTCTGTCACACTGGGACTTTTTATGTGAGGTCAAAGCCCACGTCTGGAAGACACAAGCCTGAGATCTAGTCTCAGTTCCACTCTGTGACTTTATGTCTTTGACTCTCAGACTTTTGACTTCTCAGCCATGATGACAGGTCTCAGGGGAGCTCACTATGCAGAGTTCATGCAAGCAAGATTGATGTCTCCCCAGCCTGAGTCTTGGGGTGGGAGACACTCCTCTTGGGACTCCTCCACCAGATGCCAACTCAGCATTTTAACTCTTCTTCCTGTAGGAGGGTGTGAGGATGTGGGGTACAGAGCACACCGACTGCAGACATGGTAGTGATGCACCATCATGAGGTGAGACCACATTTTCCATCTTCATCATCACTTCCGGCCCTAGCCTCTGGGCCTCTACATAAAGTAGGGGGTAGGAGGCAACAGAGAAAGCTTCAGCTTCCAAAGCCTCCTGACTAAGGTTCCACCCTTCAGGCCAGACTGTGTCACCCTGCCCTCAAAACAAAAGAGAATGATGGCAGTCCTGACCCTGGGGAGCAGTGCAGCCTCTGAGTGTGGGGATGGGAAACCGTGTTCTTGTCTCCCATGACTGGCCCTGCCCCCAGTGAACTCTATTCCTGGTTTCAGACAGCACTAGACTCTTGGGCAAGCAGTGGGCAGTCAGAAAGCTTGAACTACTTCCTGTCTGGGTCTCCGGCTTGCTTCTTTGGGCTTTGTTCCTCTTATGAGTCCCTAGAGCCATCCGTACCTCTGTCTCTTCAAGGAAAGAAGTCCCAGCACTCAGTCGAATGCCCAGTGGGAGTGGATCAAGTCATAACTCATCTTTCAGGGCTGAGGGGGCGGAGGATCCCTTCCTCAAGCCAGAGAACTCAGGCATTGCCTCCCTTCTACCCGCCACTGCCCCCCTCCCTCAGACTCTCAGAGTAGTGTGGACACAGACCAGTAAATTTCCTCTATAGCTGACTTCCTCACAGACTGAGTTCACCAGGGAGGCCAAGTGTTCTTTCCCGGGCCTCTTCACCCTTAGCCTTCTCAAATTCACAGGCCCAAGAGAGCCAGCTAGGGAAAACCCACCAGGGAGCCACTGCCTCACCTGTGCTGGGGGTTGTTGACAAGGCTTCGAAGTGCTGTAGAAAAGGGTGCAGACTGCCCACGCACCATCAGTCCTGAGTTCTCCATATGTGGAGTGGGCAGCAGATCAAAGGGTGGAACAGCCTAGAAGGCCCAGCCAGGCCCTGAAAGATCTGAGAGATCTGAGAGAGAGGGCAGGAGCTGCAGGCCTGTTTGCTGGGGAACTAAAATGTAGGAGAAAAGAGGCCCAGGTCCCTAAAGAAGATCAGGAAAAGGATGTAGATGCAGACAGGACCCAGAGAAGAAACTGGGGCTGGAAAGGCCTATGATCCTGGGAGAAGCTGGTGGTGGATGAGGCCCAGGTTGGGTGTCTGCCCAGGCAGCGGCTGGGTGGGAAGCCTGTGGGTTTCCATAGAAACTGGAGCTGAGCCTGAAGAGGCCCCGCCCATCTCCATATACGCCCAAGGGGAAAAAAATCAGCAGTAGAATGGCCCTAAGATGAGTCTGAGGGTCCTAGTGCTGGCTGGCTCCTTGCCTACACTGAATTTCAGAATCCAAGGCCTCTGCTTTTCTAATCCCTTCCCACGGCTACAGCTTAGAAAGACCTGAGACATCACCTCAGCAGGGAAAATGCACCCCTAAGTGTGGTTTCAAGGCTCAGACTTAGCTTGCCTGGGAGAGGGCAGCCCCATGCCTCCCAGAGTAAGGGAGGTAAGGTATCAGTTCTAACAACAGGAGCAGCACAGCCTCTGGCATCCCTGAAAAGCCATCACCCTAAGGAAAGAGGTGCTACCTACAGGTCCCAGGACACATGAGCAGGTCAGCAAAGGTCAAGAAACCGGACTTAGAATCACTGAGTCATGGCCATGCCAGGCCTGGGTCTTTCCCGCTGAGCCAATAGGCCTCCCCTCAGCACATAGTTCTGAACTAAGGAAGTCATCCAAGCCCCACCCCAGCTCTGCCCTGAAGCGGAAATGTTTGTCCTTGTTGAGGCTGATGGGGAGAATGTTGAACCATGACGTACTCTTTCCTGTGAGCCCAGATACTGGATTCCTAAGAAGCCGCCCCCACAGTCTCGAGGTTTTAGTGTATCCCAGCCCCCTGTGACTTGTTCACAGATGGCCAGGCCAGATCCAGAGCCCCCATGGTGGGTTTCCCCTCTCATGGACCTGAGGGGAATTTGAGGAGGCTAAGGGTGAAGAGGCAGAAAAAGATTCATATGAAATAGTGGCTCAGAAACGAGGACCTTTCTGAGCAGTGCACCTCTCCACACCGGCCCCTAGTCTGTGATCTCTAGAACTCCAAGTCCCTGCGAACCCTCTCTCTCTGGTAACTCAGGGCACCCTCCCCTCTGCAGGTGCCCATGGCAGTAACACTTAGGTTATTCCAGAGTTTGGCCGGAGGAAGGAGTTCTGGGAGGGAGAGGCGTGCTTGCCACAGCAGCCCCATGGTAACTGCACAACACAGGCCTTCCCTGCCCCACAGGCCTGTCAGGCCAGCTCAGTGAGGCTTGCTGGGCCAGCAGAGCTAGGAGGCCAAAGGCTGCAGGTGAGTCAGATGCCCAAGGGAGTTTCAGGAGAAGAGGGCATCCATCCCACAGGTGATTCTGGCAGAGTTAGAGACCTAAGCAAGAGGCTGGAAGTTGCTTCATATGTCGCCTGCCTCCTGATGCAGCCAGTCAGGGGAAGAAAAGCCCCACCATACTAGAACAGGGAAGATGATTAAGCTCTATACTTCTGAGACAACAGAGGTCTGTGGGAGTGATGGAGTTGGGTCTGTCCCTTCTGGCTATTGAAGAAACCCAGAAACCAGCTTCATGTCCCCATTCTGCTGACGAAGTGGGAGGGGGAAGGGGAAGTGGATTTAGTGCTCACCCAGTCAGCCTCCTGTGACCCAGGGAAAGGAACTCTCGGCAGAGGTTCCGTGACCATAGACTAAGCAGCCCCTTCCCTTGTTTGTTTCTCCCACAGCTCTTAGCCAGCTCTAAGTACCTAGTAGCCCACGCAGCCCCAATCTGACCTACTTGTTCCAAACATACAGGTAAGAAAGGGCTATGGAGCAGCTAGACATGGCATATATGCCTATAGTCTACTAGGGACGCACTGGATGTAGTCATGCATGCCTATAGTCTGATCACTCAGGAGTTGGAGGCAGGGAGATGCAGTTTAAGGCCAGCCTTGGCTACATAAGAGTTGACCAGGGGATGGAGTGGGGGTGGTGCCATCCTTTGATCACAGCACAGAAAACTAGGTGGATCTTGATGAGTTTACAAAGCCAGTTCCAGGACAGCCAAGACTACAAAAGGAAACCTTGTTTTGAGGAGAGAAAAAAAAAAAAAAAAGAAAGGGAAAAAAAAAAAGAAAAAAAAAAAGAGAGAGAGAGAGAGAGAGAGAAAGGAAGGAAGGAAGGAAGGAAGGAAGGAAGGAAGGAAGGAAGGGAGAGAGTTGGAGGCCATATGTGACTTTGTCTCAAACACACAGGAGGACATGTGAGCACACACTCAGAAATAGAAATCTCTACTTCTCTGAGCAAGAGGCTGGATGTAGGATGATCTCAACCAGTGAGGGTCACTCCTAAGTGTGGATCTTCCACCAGGCAGTCCATGGCTTGCAGGATCCTGCCATCCAGACGCCAGGAAGAGGAGACTACCAGAGACCTGGCTCTGAAATTACCACCAGGGAAACCTGGAGGTCACCTGCCCAGCATTGATGAGACCCGACCTATAGGCCCAGGCCCAGCCTCCCGCCGTGGCTCCCTGCCAGGCCTACACCCATCCTTTTCACGCCGAAACTCACTGGCGGGACCCTTAGTGGGTCTTGGAGGTCGACGACCATCCCTGGGCCCAATGCCCCCTCTAGGTTCACGAGTTAGTTTTTCTGGGTTGCCCCTGATGCCTCCCCGTAGGATGGCACCCTCATACCGCTTAGAACCGGCGCCAGGAGAACACTGGGAAGCTGCAAGTGCCCAGCGTGCCCTGGAGGCAGCAATGACCACACAGCTGAGCGATGCATGCTACTCGGGTACCGAGGCAGGGAAACTGGTGCAGGCGCTGTGTGAGCAGATACACAGCCGTGTGAGGGAGCTCAACCTACCCCGCTACAAACTGGTATGCAACGTGGTGCTGGGGCCACGCGAGGGACAGGGTGTGCAGGTGGTCAGCCGAGCACTCTGGGATGCGGTGCATGATGGACTGGCCTCTGCCACCTTCACCAACACTTCTCTGTTTGCTGTGGCTACCGTCCATGCGGTCTACTGGGAATGATAAGGCCTTCAAGTTCTGAAAAATGGTTTATTATCCCAGGAGGAGGCCCCCCTCTGGGGCTCACATCCCAATAAATAAATGTCTGTTAATAAATAAAAGTGGTCCATAAATAATGCCCCCTAGCTGGGAGCTAAGGCTCAGGCTTATCTCAGAGAGAAGGGTAAGATTCAGGGAGGGCACGCCATCCCCAACTGTAGTAAAGCTGGTCCCTGATTCCCTGGGGGGATTCAGCCAGAAGCCCCCAGTGAGGCACCGAAGGGACAAGAAGGGCCACAGAGGTGAGGCCCAGAGCCTTTCAGGCCCAGGCCCAGGGTCTGGATCACAGCCTGCTCTCTGTAAGTTGGAACCTAAGCAGGGCTTCGGTCCCTGAGCAGGCGCAGAGCATAGCGCAGTCGCTGCCTCAAGTCTGGGGAGCAGCCCAGCTGCCGGAGGTGGGAAGCGAGGTAAGTACAAGCACTGCGATTCCGGGCCACAAAGGTCACAAGGAGAGGTTCCCAGCCGCTGAGGATCAGTTTCGTGTGGTCCCCGTAGAAGTTCACCTGGACACAGAAGGCCACATTGATTAGGGCTTGGACACCAGATCCACATGCCGTCCCAGAACCCTGGGGTACCAGACCTTCCCCCCAAACCCAGGGTGAACTCTTACCTGGACAGTGCCATCACTAAACAGCATGAGGAGGGCCTGATCAGTCTTGACCCACTGCAGCAGCAAGGGTGGGGCAGGCACCTCTACCTCTTCCACACTGGGTAGATCTCCACCCTGGGAGAACAGGCAGGTCAGGTCACTGGACTGCCCTGAGCTGGGTCTCTCCCTATGGATGTCTCCTTCCCTTACAGGTTCAGCCACTATCTTTTTTTTTTTTTTTTGGATTTATTTATTTTATGTATATGAGTACAGTGTTGCTGTCTTCGGACACATCAAAAGAGGGCATTGGATCCCATTACAGATGATGTGAGCCACCATGTGGTCTCTGGGAATTGAACTCAGGACCTCCGGAAATGAAGTCAGTGCTCTTGGCTGCTGAGCCATCTCTCCAGCCCTCAGCCACTATCTTTGAGCCACCCTTCTCTGACCACCAACCATGGAGAATCAGAAGAGACCATCCATCCCTAAAATGCCCCCACCGCAGCCCACACACCTTCATGAGGTGCTGTTCCATGTAGGAGGCGAAATACCGCAGGATGCCCAGCTGAGGCTGCAGAGCACGGGGCACAGAACCCACAGAGAAAGAGAAGTGCTTCGTGCTGGTGGGGTTGTAGTGCACAGTCCTGAAAGTGGGAACGTAGAGAGGAAGAACCTGGCACCACCGTTTCTCCCCAGACCCCCGAGCACAGAAACACACACACAACAAGGTGCACCTCTGCTGGGTGCAATAGCCTAAATACAAAGCATGCCAAAACAGCACTTACTTCCTATTGGCTGACAGGGCCATGTGTGTGCCATCATTGAAGAGCACGGCTACACGGCGGCTGGATAGCTGATAGCCAAAGCCAAACTTGTTGGAGTAGTCAACCCACTTGCTGACCCACACCAGAGGCTCTGGCTGTGCCAACGGGGCTGGGTTCTGTTCAGCTGTTACAGGAGAGGAGGGAATGAAGACTTACCCCTGGCCTCTGGGTCAAAAAGAACTTGCCAAACTATTCCTATGCACCAGAGCCCAGCCTTACCTGGGGGCATGAAGGCCACACAGTTTCTCAGTGCACAGAGGGCAGACTCCACCACTGTGGCCACAGTCAAACCTTCTTCAAATCCTGAAAGGAACAGGGCACTGACATTTAGGCAAGAGCCACCCTGGGCCCAGGTCATGTCCCTCAGCCAACTACTTCCTTCCGGCCCCGGTCTCCACCCCAGTAACCCCTAGCACCTCTCATCTTCTGGCTCCTCACCATCGCCACTGCTTGCCAGTGTCCCACGGGGTGAGCTATCCTCAGCAGCTGTTTCTACCAAGCTGACAGGGGCCACACCTGAAGCTACTGGAGCCTGGACAGTTGGGTGGAGAAGAAGTGAAATGAGGTCCTGAAATCCAAATCCTTGAAAGTCCAGTGGCCCAGCCCTGTCCCTGTCGGCAACCAGGGCACCCCAGGTCAGCCTCAGCTGGCTAATGAGACACAGCCAATTAGGCCACCACGAGGTTAGATGCTTCATCAGCCTTTTATGCTGGGCTTCCCTCAGCTGCTAGGGTCAGGGTGAGTCAGGGGAATAACGCTCACGTGAGCACCTCACCTCTGGCCGGACATCTGGATGACCG